ACGCAGGACCTCCGACCTCCGACCCCCGTGCTCGGTCGGGGGTCCGACGTTCCCGAAACGCCCTACCTCCTCCACCCTTTTCGGATGGAGGTCCGACAGATTGGAAACGCCGGACCTCCGACGTCGGCACGGATGACGGGGGCCCGGGGGTCGGGCATTCCTGAAATGCCCTGCCCCCGCCATCCTTCCTGGGTGGGGAGGGGGGGGCATCGGAATGGGAACCCTCGGCCCCCTGCCTCGAAAGGATGGCGAGGGTCCGGCGGACTGGGAATGGCGGACCCCTCGACCATGCACGGTTGTCTGGTATGCAGCGTTCCCGACACCCTCGCTAACCCCCCTTGCCGAAAGGATGGCGGGCGTATGGCAGGTCACGTGCCTTCTTGAATGTCTCGGACCACGTGCAAGTGTTTCTGTGTGGTGGTCATTGCTGTTCTCCTGCCCGTTTTTGTTTTGCATTTGCCACCGGCAGGTAAATCTGGTGCGCCGACCTCTGCTCAAAATAAACGGTACGGCAGGTTTAAGACTTACAACTACAAACCGTGGGCTCTTGACTGGGTAGGCGGTTTGCATAAACCGGGGTGTGGGGCTGTTATCTTCTTGCGCGATGACAATGGCGCCACTTGGTACTGTTGTGGGGGTGTGGAGAAATCCGAGGCGGGCAGGAAGACCTACGAAGGGAGGACGTTCAGGACCTTCTTCCTCACGTCCGTCTTCGACAGCGCCGGGACGGACTGGGTCAAGGAAGACAAGAAGGTCTCCCTTGACCTGCGTCTCTTCCAAGGATACGGCGTCAAGGCTTTCTCCATGAAAGCATTTGACGTGCGTAGGGACGGAACTGAATTCCGAATGCTTTCTCCGGAAGAGTTTCTCAGCAAAACAAACGCCAACCGCGTCACTGGCGGCCTTCCTGTCGTCGACAGTTCTTTTCGGACGAGCAAACCTTTGGTCCAATTCAACAGTCCGATGGACCTGCTGCCAGGTGTGGCTAGGCGGTACAGGGAAGACTTCTCGAAGCTGCCGCCGGACCAGCAAGCGGACTGTGTTTTTTTGCCCTTCGAGGTGGGTTCCAAGAGCAGGCGACAAACGCCGTCCGCGACGACAGGGAAGACAAAGTAGTTGCCGGGTGGGCCGTCGGGCGCGAATCTTCCCTCGCCCTCTGTGAGGGGAGGTCGTGATTTGGCTCAAGGTTCAAGCGAGGCAACGGAGTTTGATGACAGGCTTCTGCACCAGCGCAATGTTGGCCGTGAAAATTCCCTAGGCAGTGCGGTTGCCCTGGACGAGGACAACGACGAGGACGACGAAGGAGGAAGTGCCGACACGCATGACGACGGCGGTAATGAAGCAGATGTGGAAGTTGGCGATGACAACATGGAGGACCGGGGCGCGCTTGCTGACGAGGACGCCGACACGCCAATGCATGGTCATGACATCTCCCCCGTCGGCGCTGTGGGAGCCGCTATTGGTCAGCCCTCGACGTCCAGTGGAATTTCGCTATCGCAAAGCAGGAGTAAGGGTGGGCACGACTCACATGCAATGGAAGGACCGAAGGCGAGGAAAAGGACAAGGGAGACTACTCCGTCTGCTTCTACTCACAAGAGGCAAGCCAGGACTGATGCTGTTAATGAGGCTTGTGGAGCTTTGACAGCATCCCAGGAAGCGCGGCCTCCTCGGAAAAACAGCCAAGGGGGGCGATCTGGGGGTCAAGGCGGTGGCCGTGGGGGCGGTGGCCGTGGAGGGGCGCGGAAAGGCTCCCAGAGGGTGAGACCACAAGAGCTGCGGGACTCGGGGGATGAGGGCGAGGGAGTGGATCCTCGCATGCCCGAAGATGTTGATGAGCCGGTTCAGCGCATCGCGGCCATCGACACGACGCGTTGTTTCTTCCTCGAGTACGACGACCAAGGCTTTGCTACGCAAGACGTCCATGCTCTTCACGTGGACGTCATGAGAATCAAATGCATTCCCCGCGGAAGGATTCTTTTCAACCACCGCTCGTTGTCTGAAAACATTGTGCGAGGCATCGAGAATGTCATCGAAAGCTCCATCAGCATGGACCCGGGGGCGTGGCATAGGCCCGAGCTCGTGCTTGCGCCAGTTGACCGCAATGGCATTGTCGGCAGCCAGGGAAGACGGATCACGCCGACCGAATTCTTGGAAAGGGACCCGGCAGAGTTCGAGTGGTACACTATCTGTGGTCAGCATATCGTTGAGGCCATGAAGAGATTGGTCAAAAAGGGCTCCCCGACAGTTAAAGTTTATGGCCTCAACGTGTACTCTAAGGTGCGGGTTGTCTATTTTGGAGATGATCAAACAGGAGGGTATTTCAATGTCTCCTGCTTCGACAACACACGCGAAAATCGCTCCATGATGTTGTCATTCGAGGACGTTGTCCGTGACATCAGGCAATGGTGGATAGACAACAATAGAATCGAGGCCCCGAAGGCCAAGGTCAGCGAAGAGGATGAGGTGGCCGTTGCACATCAGAAGACGTGGCAAAACTTCTTGAGGGCCTGCATGGGGAAGGCATGCGACAAGGCGTTTGTAAAGCAAGCTCTCGATAATAAGTACAGTAAGGATTGGAGTAATAAACTCCGGGGCTACATGAACCTCGCCACATCCAGTGTCGCAGTGTGGCCGTTGGTCGAGAGGTTCTTCGAGATGTTCAACGAAGGAAAGCTGCCAGTTGGCGATGACAAAATCCCGCTTGACATGCCCGGGAGGATGGAAGGCCGCCTGCCAGGTACGTACACCGACGAGACCAAGGGACAAAGAACATTGTACCATTGCATATATGCAATAGATGGTCCCAAGGGCTCCACCGTGTCGTGGAAGGATCTCTGTCCTTCCTACTTCAAAAATTTTGGGGATTTGACATATCGTGAGAGGGAAGTTGCGTTGCTCCTGCTCATGAAGGGAAAGGTGGTCGCAACGAACGTCAAGAGTGAACACAGAGTGCCTCCTCGACATCATGCGAAAGGAGCGGTACATGGTGCGTATGTTCAATTATGTTCTGTTCCGCGCCGAGGGAAGGGCGGACGACGAACGGAACGACGCGTTCTTCATGTCGTACAAGGACCTTGAAGACAGGTATGGGCCAAACGGTCTCTGCACTGCTGAATGGGAGAAGGAACGAGACAAGTTACATGTCAATAAGGTGAAGATGGTCCCTCGACGACTTGGAGGAGTGGAGGAGGCAAGTCAAGGTGCGGGCTTGGGGCCTACGACGACAATGTATAAGGAGGCTCCGTTTCACCCTAAGGTCTTCATATACACTACAATCGATAAGCTCGATTTGCTTCGCGCCGAGATGAAACGGATCGCCTCCAGCACGCGTCATATTGTGTGGGACAAGATTGGCAAACAAACGACGTTGCTACCTATGTGCATGCTATCGAAGGAAGTGTTGGCAGCGCCACACGACATCGTCGCTGCAGCGCAAAAAATGACATGCAGGGCCACCATCGTGGACATCCCATCCTCGACATTCAGCACGGCGTGGACCTCTCACGAATTTGATGCCTTGCACACATTGATGACCAAGTGTTGTGGCCAGAATTGGGTCTTTTTCTTCTTTGCGCCGCAGAAGGTGCAAAGCGATGTTCTGCGTCACTTGCTCCGCTGGGAGGACGTCGAAGTCATCCCCGGGACCTGGAAACGGGTGGACAGGCCACCGAACGACATCACACGATATGACAATATGGCTACGACGAGTCGAGATATGATGGTCATTGTCCTGCACGCCGACGGAGGGGATCTGAAAAAAGTAACTGTCAAACCCCGACTCCACAACGACCTCACAACCGTGCACGTTGTGGAGGAGAAGTTCGGGAAGTCTCAAGGAAAACACGGTGGGATAGAGGGCGATGATAGTGCGGTGTATTCCATCTGGGAGCGAGAGCCTGAAAAGTTACTTTCGTTGTGCGGGTCATTTGTCAGGGAGGTGAAGGTGTGCTTTTGTTGGGTAGAGCGCACACAGGTCTTGTGTGGGAGTTATTACTGGCAGGTAATAATGTCATTGCCTGCGAGGAGTCGGCCAAGGATATTGCATATCTGACAAAGTTCGTCGATATACTTGTGAAGGATGAGAGATTCGCCTGTCATGTCGAGAAGCCACGTTGCAAACATCGTAGCAACGGGGACATGTTCCACAAGTTGGGACGCAAGAGACTGAAGGTGTGGGAATACCTGTTCCGCGATGCGCTGTAAGGACGGCTTGACGGGAATTACATCTACAGGAAAGCAAAGGTGACAGAGACCCTGAAACATTATCACGGTGCTCTTAGTGGCGCCTTTGAGACTTTTGTTGCTCGATGCGAGATCCTGAAGTTCGATCTTCATAAAGACCAGCTGATGTCCAAGGACTACACCGACCTCGCGAAATCGGGTGACGGCTTTAACCCCGTCGACAGCGAGGAAGACTCTTCGGGGTCCGACCTCGAATTGGGCGATGGCAAAGGTGGTGAAGGTCCGGGCGGTAGCATGGTGCGGTCACACGATGAAGGGACCGTTCGCTCGCATGAAAGACCCGTACAGGTGGCCGCCCACAGTGTTGGCTTGATGGTGACCCCCATGGAGGGCACTAGTTTGCCAAACATAGGAATATGTGGTCCCAATGATGAAGATGACATTGATATGCCAGGCGAGGCGTCGAAGCTCGCACCAGGCGATCCAATTCCTCCCGGCTATTGTGCTGATCCCACCACAATTTATTTCTTGGGGGGCAAACACGCCCGCACTGATGAGGACAAGTAGGGTCATGACATCGTGTGGCATGAGGGCATTTTTGAGCCCTGCATCCAAGATGGGGAGTGGAAGATGGCGGTCAAATACACACGCGGATGGCAGACGTTTCGCCGGATGTCAAAGACACTTGGCTGAAAACGAGGAAGGTGGACTTAGCTGTTTTCTGGTGCGTCTGTCATCCCCACAGATGTAAATTTGAAAACTTAGTTGATGGACGGCCCAATGTTCACCCTGCGGGCTGAAGTGGCGTGAGTCCAGCTATAGGCCGAATACTGGCCGGGGCTGAGGACGAGCTGCACAATCCAAAGCACGCATTCTGCTTGTTGTGTGGCTAGTCGAATTATGTTGCAGGTTGCCACAGCATGAGAGGGAGATCGTGTGTTTAGCTCCCAGCCTGGGTTTTGAGCCACAGCCATTGCGTTTCGGGCCTACATACGGGGTGGAAAGACGAAGTTGTTGAAAGGGAGTTGTTGTTGCGGCTTGAAGGAGGCACCGAGAAGTCAACAGCCGGCGGTTTGACGTCAGTTTAAACAGGCTGTTGTGGCCTGGCCATCATTGAAGGGCCCTCAGGCGAATCATGGATTCAAGGCCCTCTCGCGCGAGTCTGAGTGCACCTCTCTTGTATCTGAGAGACTAAATGTTTCTTCCTCTGCCCTTTTCCCTCTAAGTCTAGTCCATTGGTTCTGAGAGGAAGGCGGCAGGCGGGATTGCAACCTGTAATCCGCGCCAAGGCCTCTGTGGGAGGATTGCCCCACCGATTGCGGGAGCTCTACCGGAACTCAGGAGGAGTTCTGGAGGCAGGGAACTGAGAGGTAATCATTGCTTCCCCTTTATATACCCAAGTGTAACCCTTATCTCTACATCTCCTTATATTGTGGCTGAGGGTATTGTATGCGCCCCTACTTTGACTTTGGATTGACCTTCAGGACAAAAGTCAGACTAAGTAAGGGAATGGACTAAGTAAAGGAATGTCTGCCATAAAGGGTTGACTACCTTCAGTTTCAACTTTGTTAGTTGCCTGAAAGCAGACTGTCGACAGAGATTGCATCTAGGAAGGGCAGGATGGGAGACTACCTTGCAAAAGGGTTGACCGGGTTATTGAGGCTGGGGAGTCCCCATAAGTTTGGGGAGACTCGGTGCTTTGTTTATTTTTTGTTTTGTGTGGAGCGTCAGACCCTTCTATAAGTTTAGGGGGTCTGATTGCTGACTGCCCTGGCTTGCGAGGGCTTGGTTGTGGTTTATTTTCAGGAGCTCAGAGCATTCAATAAGTTTTGGTGCTCTGGGTTGCCTTGTTTTTTTTGGGTCTTCTTAGTTTCTTTGGTTTCTGAACGAGGAGGTCTGAGCTGTTATATAAGTTTAGGTGGCTCAGTCTCTTCTTGCGCTTATTATTTGAAAGAGTGAATTTGGCAAAGGGCAGACTGCTCTGTAAGTTCAGGTGGTCCATCCCAATGCCACGCACACGATGATTCAGAGAGAAAGGAATCATGCGGAGAGGCAGACCCTTCTGTAAGTTCAGGGGGGTTGACTCAAAGCCTCGCACATGCTGGAACCCAAGGGTTATAGTTTGACTATACCTTATTACTACTCTACTTAAGAACAGGCTGGTCAGACAAGGGTTTCATAAGATTGGATGGTCTGACTAATAGCTTATCACAATTTGAAGAGAGTGCAACTAAGAATATAATTGAAGGTAACCTGGGCCGACTGAGCATTGTTTCTAAGATGAATGGCTCAGCCTTACGCCCACTTTGAAGATTAAGGTCAGAGAGATATATATAATCTGGCTTTTTAAACAGTTGAGGGCGACTAGAAAGGTCTAGTCATATGCCTAAAGAAGAGAGTTGTTGTGCCATGTGTTTGTGTATACTTTGGCTAAGTTTGGGTGTCCTGACTTTAGGTCTGACTAAGGTAAGGTTCATTCCATAAGTTTGGGTGTCCTCGCCTTACGCCTTATGTAAGCTGGGTATAAAGGGTTTAATCATTGAAAGACTACGAACTATTGTTTACTAAGTTGACTTGAGGATGGTGAGAGTACTTACCCTTGTGGTTTGGTTTCCATGTGGCTGAGTGAGATCACTACTTAGTCTGAGTTTCAGTTTGATAGGTAGTTGCTTTAGAGGTTCGCTGCGTGCTAGAGCGATAGGGGAGTTAGTTTCAATTCCTGCATTTTCTGAGCTAAGTTTTTTTTCTTAGATCAATTCTCGCATTTTCTGAGATCTTTTATTATACTTGGCTTTGTATAAATTTTGGTAAGCTACTTTCTCTACGGGAAGCGCTGCCGAAATTTCTGCAAATCCAAGGAGTTAGTCAAACTTTGACTTATCAAAGTTCAACTTGCCTAAAACTCATATATGGCTTAATAAAAATATGGGAAGTCTCCTTTTCTGAAGGGAGTGCTGCCCAATTTTTTGCAAATCCCGTTAGACAAAATTGGACTTTGGAAAGTCAAAGACTATTTCTGTTTTCATATTCAGGCTGATATAAATTCTGGAAGGGCACTTTTCTTACGGGAAGCGCTGCCGAAATTTTCTTAGTTCAAAACAAATAGATTATGTTATGACAGGTGGCGATTCTGGCGATCCACTCTGTATAGAAGAGATTATGCTAGGGTCAACCTTTGCTTTGGGCGCTGCTTAGTAGTAAATTCAGGCTTACTCAATTAGGATGATTTGAGTGAGATCGTGAATTGGGGATTATTCTCCATGGGCTTATAGATCTAGCTTGGGAATTGACCTCTCTTGTGTTACAGGTCCTCTTGGTCGTTTGATTTAGGACTTGGACTAGATTCATCTTGATCCTACAAGGATCATCTTCTATTATCACTGATAACAGGTCGGTTGCCGATTCGTCCGTTTACGATTCAACTCCAATCCACTCCTGTCACTAACCTAAAGGCTTTAGCCCTGTGGTTTGAATTGATTCATTGTGTTTTCACCCGGACTTTATTAAATGGTCATTTAACAAAAGTACTGAGTATTTATTTTGGGGGAGTTGCTCCGAGGTGAGGTTTGTGTGGCTAAAGCAAGGGGTAGGAGCATAGAGAATGGTTGAAGTTGAACCCGTGTAGTGCGTAGACGTTTGTTGGATCTTTGATGTGATTGCAGGTATGGTTGTGGTTCGGACTCTGGATGTGACTGCCTGCGATTACATCTATACATGGCTGAGAGGAGTCTCAGTGTGACTGTGAGAAGTGATCGCCCTACATAAATAAGCCTTATGTATATATATGTTTATATGTGTCTTGGGTATGCGCTCGGCTTACTGTGATCGTGCGCAAGGGTTAGCCAGATTATGGCTTGAGAGAAAAGGGAAATCCCCTTTTATCCTTTGCTTTTTAGACATTTTATAGTTGGACTTTGGTCCTGGGCCGGGATTCAAGGTCCTTGTACAGGACATCCCAAGCCCTAGACTCTGCAGGGAAGGAATCTGTCCCCGTGCAGAGCCTATTTGCCTTACCTACCAAGACGCTCAGACCGAAAGCCGGAGGTCTCGCGGCGGCTACACGACTATTCCTTCAGTCGTGCAATGTCGTGAAGGATTAGACCCTCACGACACTTCGAGTCTGAAACTTGAGTGTCATACGCAGTACTCGGATCCACGAGGGGCCACTTGATTATAGGCACTACATAGTACGCCATCATTGCGACTGCTTGCGTACGCTTGCATTGCGAGTCAATATGAGCTAGCGCTGCGTCCGCGCAGTTTTATACCAAGCCTCATGCGAGACGCCTATTCGATTTCTGCATTGGAAAGTTATGGGATGGCTACCAAGGGACTAGGAGGTTTGTCGCGTTACTTGTGTTGTGTCGTTTTGTGTGTATGTGTGTGTGTTTTATTTTTTTGTTGGTAAAGTGGTGTGCGCGTGGTGTGTGGTTTGCGTCCTAGTCGACCAATGACGAGTCGCGCTTGGGACCTCAGCCCCCCAAGATGTCGGTTCGCGTGCGGGTCCGATAGAGGCGTATTACCGCGCGTACCCCCTATGCTACAACGAACAAGAAACGCCATCGGCTGGTCCACCTCTGCGATTGCAACTGATTAGCTTTCGTACTGTGGACTGGTAGCTCGGCGGGGATACGCCCACCGAAGGGAGGTGACANTACTGTGGACTGGTAGCTCGGCGGGGATACGCCCACCGAAGGGAGGTGACAGCTCCCGTAAGGTGGAGGTAAGTTGTGCCTCGCATAGGTCATATCCTGTCGTAGGGGCTCACGAGAGGTATGGCTGGCGCACTCGGCCGGAGCGGCTTGCGGAAGCTCCATGCATATTCGCGACGAAGGATTTAAAACCAACTCCTGTGTGACGCGGTCGGGAGGGTCTCGCGCTGCCTCGTGCGGTGCCGGACCGATGCGCTCGACAGCGATGCAAGGCCTTGCAGCACAACGACAACGATCTTTGGGCGAAATGAGGAAATGCAAACATATACATAGTTATTGTGATATCATGTACATAGAAACTAGTAAGCTGCGTAGCACGCCGAACGTGTTCGCTCCCCTTCACGTTCAGGCGAACGTGTTTCGCACGTTCGCACGAACAGCTTGCGAACATGTTCGGGCGAACGTAATTTTATTTCCGTAAAAAAAAAAAAAAAAAAAACTATTTTTCGGTTTTTGATTTTTAATTCATGATTGGCTACGAATTTGAACATGACCCCAGGGCAAAAGTTGTTTTTATTGTTGTTTTACATAACATATATGTTTTTCAGATTTTTCTTAGAAATTTTTTTTTTTTTTTTTAATGTTCGTGTTCGGAGGGTTTGGGGCGCTTGTTCGTGTTCGCCTCCGAACGTGAACACGGTGCTACGTAGCTAGTAAGTATTTATGATGTTCTTGAAATCATTAGGGGACCATAAAGACAGCTCACTAGGAACTGACACAAAATATTTGACTCCTCTTTGCTTGTTTTCCCTTATTATTTCTTGTGGAGCTCCATGCTTCTAACATAGGGTTCGTGAAAAAACAAAATAGAAAAATGTTGGGTTTGAACAAAATCTATTTAGTATTTATGATTCTAAGAGAACAGTTTTTAGGCTTCCTGCAAGAGCAAGA